ATGGCACTCTATTTAGTTGCATTTACTAGAAAACAGCATCAATCTCAACCCTTAGATATGTTGAGAAATGAAAATTTCATGTTATTCTGACGGAACGCCTGAAATTTCCTGACGGATCCATGAATCCTGCACTCATAGCTAATATAACTCTTGAAACACATGAAAACAAGCAAATCTGTGAGATTACATGCAAAAGTGGATTGTAGTGCAGTCCATGAGACTGTTAAGAGCACTGTGTGGTAAAAAAAAAAGGAAAAAGTAGGGGAAAAAACATGAAATGCCTGTATAAACAAGTATAAAATCATAAGAAAATATTCCACTGCTCCAGGAATTCAATTACTTAATGCAAAACCATAAACCCACAGTCTAGCTGTTGCTAACTCTCAGTGTCTCTCAAACAGTGAATACATTTGACATTTTTATTCTTCATAGTATAAGAACTTGAGACACAAGGTATTTTTTCAAAATTTACAAGGTATAACTTTCTGCAGGCCTACTTTGACAAGCTTAAGTAACTAATTGCAACAAAGAGACAATATATTCTTCATTATGATAGGCATTTAACAAGGGAAGTCAATAATCAATTGTTTTGAAGACAATAATTAATACATCTATGTCAGAATTGAATATTTACAGCAATGTGGAATAGCAGAAACATATTATTCACCATTTTCAAAGAAGAAGGAGTAGCAAGAAATCAGAAAATAAAACCAATATAGAAGTAGAAACTGTTTCACAGTTGCACTCTAATAACAATGCCAGTTAAAGGCTGGGTTTCCCAAAGCACTCAGTAGAACTTCAGTCACAAGTACAGTTAGTTAGACTTATTCTCTACGGCATGTTTCCCAAAAGCATCATTATCCAAGTAGCATGTAAAAAGTTCAGACATTAGCCTCTGATCAGACATAAATCCATTACATGCAATTTAATAGGGATATTTCTCTTTTTTTTACACATTTTAGTAGACAACAAAGTGCTTATTAAATTATATTAATACATTTTGTTTACTGCAAAACCATTGTACACTATATCCATCCCACTTGAGACACAAGGTATTTTTTCAAAATTTACAAGGTATAACTTTCTGCAGGCCTACTTTGACAAGCTTAAGTAACTAATTGCAACAAAGAGACAATATATTCTTCATTATGATAGGCATTTAACAAGGGAAGAAATATAATCCTGCAAAAATAAACAAATAAATACATAGAGATGGGCAGATAATTGGATTGAATATTACTATAAAAATATATTATAATGCATATAATGATTACATTGAGTTTTTTTTCATACGTTGTCCTCGCATTGTTGTGTCTGTATGTGAGCAGGTGCACATATGAAGTATAATATTTGAGAGACAGCGCCGACATTTATCACCACAGGCAGCTCCCAGTCGCCCACGCACTTTGGGAAAAAAAACACAAGCCCCTTTCTCTCTTTGCTCTGCGTGTTGTGAGATATTTTTTTTCCTCTGACTTCTCTCTAGAAGGTTCAGTATCTGTGGTACTCTAAACACGCCAAAGGCAAATCTACTTTTGAATATTTTAAAGTAGTCCTTTGTCATTTTGGCAAAATGTAAATAAATCAACCAAAATAATAACAAAACAGATAAATGACGAGTTCCAATGAGTTAAAGTGCGTATTTTCGAAACGCTAGCATCAACCAATGTAATTGATAAAATTGCCATCGTTTCAAACAGGTTTCCCCGTGCGTTCGTCATTCTTTAGTTCTTTGTTTTACTATCTGAGACGGATATATATATATAACTACTGCTGCTAATTTAACATTTAAAGCTAGAGAAACGTCTATCCATACGTTGTCCTCGCATTGTTGTGTCTGTATGTGAGCAGGTGCACATATGCAGTATAATATTTGAGAGACAGCGCCGACATTTATCACCACAGGCAGCTCCCAGTCGCCCACGCACTTTGGAAAAAAAAAACACAAGCCCCTTTCTCTCTTTGCTCTGCGTGTTGTGAGATATTTTTTTTCCTCTGACTTCTCTCTAGAAGGTTCAGTATCTGTGGTACTCTAAACACGCCAAAGGCAAATCTACTTTTGAATATTTTAAAGTAGTCCTTTGTCATTTTGGCAAAATGTAAATAAATCAACCAAAATAATAAAAAAACAGATAAATGACGAGTTCCAATGAGTTAAAGTGCGTATTTTCGAAACGCTAGCATCAACCAATGTAATTGATCAAATTGCCATCGTTTCAAACAGGTTTCCCCGTGCACTGCCCCGTCTGCCGTTGGTCAGCTAAACAGATAGTCCCGCGCCAAACGCACGCTATTGGGTGCGTCTTCGACGTGCTTGTCTGGTGCGAAAGTTTGGTAACCCCACATTGCATCAGTGGTTACATTTTTTAGGAGAAATCCTTACTTCTTTATCTTTGAATATAGGATAAAGTATGTTAACATGTAAGAAATGACACACTTCCGTTTTAATAACATAAAACTACACGTCGAACCACTTTGTTTCCCAGTTATTATGACGGTATGGTGGTGTCTCCCTTTTTTGGGTTAGTGAGAGCATGTACTCGGCCAGTTCAAATGCATGATAGACTATCCTCTTGTGGCTGATTACAGCAATGCAGATAGGAAGTGCAGCAGAGATTAAACCACAGTACATACTGAACCAAATACAAGGGAAGAATAAAAAAAAGTGCAGCTAACCACAGGGTAAAGGATGTGACAAGAAAACTGTCTGCACTGTCAAATATTTAAACTCACTAAAATTAAAAACATAACTTTTGATGTACAAAGTGGTGCCAAACCCTCTAGTGAAGAAAAAAAACACATGCTCTTTTAAGACCACTTTGAATTTAAGCAAATCAAGTTGAAACACACACACACACACACACACCTCAAAATTAAAATGAATAAAATCAAGTAGAAGAAATTAATATGAGTGGATGAAAACAAAGACATTCTGAATAATAATGATACAATTATTAGTGTACATGTTATCCGGTCCATGAACTTCCGTCTGCTAGCCATCAGAGGTCACCCTTTCCACTTCATTGACTCTCGCACTACACTGTTGCATATCACCCCGGACTACATATCCCATCATTCATTACACTGATTGCACACAGCACTGATTGCACACAGATGTTTCATATCACTCACTCACTATTTAACACTCATTCTCACTCCTTTCTAACTGCCGAGTATTGTATGCGCTTATCGCCAGCAGTGATAGCTACTCTACAGAGCCCTAGTTAGCTTCCTAGCCTAGCCTAGCCTGATTTCTCGGTTTCTGATCTTTGACTGTTTTCCTGGATTCATCCCTTTAGTCTTGCCGTTTTGATTCTGTTCGCCGTTCGTTGACCTTTGCTAGCCCTAGGATTATTCTTGTGTTTTGCCCGCCATATACCTGTTTGCCATTGTTCGACCCTGCCTGTGTTTCTGACCCCTCTGCTTTAAATAAAGCTTGCACATGGATCCTCACGTCTCGTCAGCACCATAACAGAATACTCGGCCGTTAGAAAGGAGTGAGAATGAGTGTTAAATAGTGAGTGAGTGATATGAAACAACTGTGTGCAATCAGTGCTGTGTGCAATCAGTGTAATGAATGATGGGATATGTAGTCCGGGGTGATATGCAACAGTGTAGTGCGAGAGTCAATGAAGTGGAAAGGGTGACCTCTGATGGCTAGTAGACGGAAGTTCATGGACCGGATACCTAACAGTACAAGTGTTTTGAATACTATGTGTTTAAATCATTTTCAATTTCGACATCTCAGTGCTTAAATTTTGTATGATCAACACATTATGTCAACAAGCATGCCACTATCACTTTAAATGGTTAGCTGTCATCTTTGCACAATAGATTAAATCAAAATAGGGACATAACCAAAACCCCTTTTGATACCAAAATGCATTTTCAGCATTAGAAGATGCAATCAATGGGTTTTTCTCAATAATACAATGAAAACAACTGGGTATCTCTTCATGATACAAACATAAATCTGTAATGACATATCTGAGTGACATCTTCTCAACTGTACACTAGTGGAATTCCGGTCTGGCACCAGGAATAGGATTCCAAGCTCTCACTCCACCACTCATAGGATTAAAGGTTTAAGGTCCATTGGCATGCTGTGTATTATTGTGAGAGTTGAGTTTAGTATATCGGAGTGGTTTACCATTGCCTTATATGTATTAAAATGAAGTAAAGGCTTTCTCTAAACCCACAACAAGAGTGCGACATGTCAAATAAATGTCAGTGTGACTCTAAAACAAAATAACGACATACTTTCATAAAGTATACTTAAGAACGGTGACATATATATGTAAATGCACAGAATACACAAATATCTCATTTGTATATTCTATGACACAAACCGAACACAGCTGCCAGTTTCCAGCAATATGCTAGCATATAATATCGCACATGTAATACAGAAATGCAAATACATGATCGCATTGGTACTAGTTTAATTCAATACCGTGTATAGGAGCACTGGTTGCAAAAGCAACTTAAGTGAAGCTAAATCCTTCACAAACAGATGTGGGCCAGATGTTGCTGGCACACAGGACCAGAGGAAGGATTCCGTATCCTCCCTGCTCCAGGAACTCTGGTCTTGATGTGTGCATGCGTGTGTGTTTTGTATAATCCCAGGAGTAATCCCAGGAAGAATCCTTCTTCCACAGTTACAGTGGCTTCTGCAGCAACCGTTCCATTAGGACAATATCATACTAAGCTTCATAGGCATGTCTTATTGCCATGAGCCTGTGAAGAGCAGCCATGAACCCAATAAACATAAAACCCCTGCAATTCCGTGGCACATGGTCCAGCATTAACCAAAGCAAAGAAATTACAATTTTTTGATGTAAATAAAGTCTTTGTTGATCATCGTTCCTGGCTGTTGATCAAATGCGACTGGCTTTAACATTCTAGGTCAGGTTAGTTGTAAAGATTTGCAATTAAGAGACATATTTTGAGCAACTCAAACAGAAGGGATCACAGAAGTTGGTCAAGAAACATATCAGGCAGAATTTATTGCTTCAGATATGTATGCTTTGAGGAACATCTGTACATTTCTGGAAACATCCATTGTTGTAAAAGGGCACATTACTGACTCACTGAACTCTTTTAATGATTCATTCTCCAATAGGCCTGAGTGGCGTACAGAGGAGCTTAATGGCTCTCATAGTTGACCTCTTAATGAGCTACACATCATCTGTGGGGTCACTTAGTTCTTTGTGCCGTCTCACTTTCATTTAACAAGTTCAGAATAGAATGATTACAGGATAAAACCTGAATCTTTCAGAGTCTCACTTTCGCACTAAAAAGATCATTGTTCACTCCTCCATTTCATTCCCCAAATAAGCAGCCATGCGTTTCGGTTGAATGCCAGAGATGGCAATATAGTGTGACATTTCGGTTTCAACAAGATCCATTTTAACATGCTTGGCAACAGCAGGTTACTCCTTTCTGCTCTATACCTGACCTTTCTCTCTCTTTTAGAATCTGAAAAATGTATGAACTATTCAATGTAAATGTTTCTTTCATTTTGTTTTCAGACCTTTTTACCTGATCATTTCACATTAGTCTACATGGTAGCGCAAAGAAAATATCACTAGGTGTCAACATTTAAGGCTTTTGCTGACTCGTTCCAACCTCAAAACCCAATGACCAATTTACAACACAGAGAAAAGTACGAAAACGGTTGTCGCGTAAACAGCATGAAAAGCCAAGTCAAAAACTACTGACTGTAAAGAAATGCCACATTCTGTCAAAGCCTACACTATTTCACAATACAATCTGCGTTTTTGCCATCATTCATGTCGCTTTGGCTGCACATTAGAGTAGCGTATCAGAACCATTTTCAGCTCTTCCTCACTAACGTTAAGCTGCATCTACGTTAAAAGCAAAGCATACACAAGCTATGTACAAATGATTCGAAAGTCTTAGCTGCAACCCGACCTTGTTCACCTTGCAGAATATCTTGGTCTAAAGTGTGAAAAGCTGCCTAAGGTGCACAATTCTATTGAGCTACTTCAAAAAAGCTTAGAAAAAAAGACAAACAAAAGTGAAATCAGTCATTTCTGGACACTTTTCCGAGCACTCGTATGAAGTAATCCCTCTGAAGGCAACATTTTTAGCATAGCTAAAAACTTAGCATAGCATCTGTCTGCCTTATATCATTGATGCTAAAGCTATTAAACAAAGAAGAGAAGCCTCAAGTCCATTAATACAAAGCAAGGGTTTCATTATAAGCAATTACCCATTGCAACATAGTAGAAAATGGTTTTTGCATAGCATTTGGCCTTGCTGTACTTCTTTTCATAAATCTTTTTTTTTATACTGTGATAAATGTTGATGCCAAATGCGTTCATTTTTGTTCACGTCCCTTGGAAACTTCATGACTGAAATGGTAGCTCTTGTGGCGCTCAATTCATTGAAAGATGAATGCGATAACTAGTGGAAACCAGGGAAATATAAAGTAGGAAGTCAAGGCAGATATGGCAATTATATTCCCATAGAGCTTTGAATCGATCATGCAATTTATGATATCAGGAAGAAACTTCAACAGGAGCACTCCTCTTATAGATTAGCGAAGTGAGAGGTGCAGTAAATAAGTACTCGGCATCGTTTTTTGCATGGTCAGCTTGTCGTTGAATACTGAAGTGGAGAAGAAAAAGAGGTTGTGCATGGAATGTCGCGGTGGTGTCTGGGATTTTGTGTGGGCTAAACGGCTCCTTTAATAACCGGTTCCCTGTTGAGGTATGTGGCCCAGTAGACCAAGTTGAAAGTCCCAAAGAGGACCGGAAACACAATCCGGGACATCTTGTCAATTTTGCTGACGCTGTTGTAGGTCTTTTTGGGGTCCATTGCAGGCTTGGTCTCAGCACTTTTCAACTGGACTGTGGTGCTGTTGGAGATGGTTGAGATAGCAGCATCCTTCATGATGTTGGGGGTGAAGTTAACTCCAGACGAACAGGCATTGTTGGGCTTTTTGGAGAGTGCCAGTGGGTCTTTTTTCTGTGGTTGAGAAAGGTGAAGACATTGTTATAGTCAGGAGATTTTAAACAAGTTTGTCAATGTAAGAACAAAGCTGCTAACTATCTGCTCAGAGAAATCCCAGATAATTAACCAGTTTGAAGGTCGTAACCTTCTAATTAAAGGTGAAACACAGTCATGGTTAACAGAGATCTGAGTCTGAACATTAAACAATGGCCTCTGCAGGGCCAGCAGAAGAGATTAATTAATAACGCTACGTCCACACGAAGTCAGAGCTTTCCCTATGCAATCTTTTTTTTCCCTCGTCTCAAGAAATATCGGCGTCCACACGAAACCACAAAACTGACACAAAACGATGTAGTATACATGCCAGACCAGCATGTGGCACTGTAATTCTGCCACAGAGATACACTAAAAATGGAGAAGAAGACTTGGACTATGCTCATAAACCTTGCGCGCGGTATACAAACGAACATGGAACAATACATTTATTAATCTGTGTTAATGTTAGTTAATAAAAAGACAATCGTTCAGTGTTTGTTCATGTTACGTGATGTAGTGGTGTCTGACTAGGGGCGAGACGTGGGCTGATGACGTCATCGTTTCAGAAAATGTATGGATTCGCTGTCCACACGAAAACGCAAGGGTGGCGTTTTCAGATTTATCCACTCTGGGACCCGGTATCAAAAAATATTGGTTTCACTCTCCCAAAACGCAGGATCCGTGTGGACGAAACGCCTATACGATACAAAATGTATGCGTATACAGCTAAACGCATCTCCGTGTGGACGGGGCCTAAGGCGACAGTATAATAATGGAGCGGTTGAGACTGCGGTTTAGACAAGAGTGGATTGAACTTGACTCACTCAATGGTATGTGCAAGTGACTTTGAGGCACTTTTCCAAGTGAAATATAATTTAGTTTATCACAGTTACACATCTTCTTGTTCATCTATAAAAGTTATAATGCTTTCAAGGACATTTCTCAACAATTAGTATTATTACTTTAGATAGAAAAGAAAATAAGCAGCAGTTATAGCTCTAAAATCCTGCTGTATTGCTTTTATGTTCCAGTACTTTCAGGTGGGCAGAGGTAATCTGTCACCATGCCAGCTTGTGGGGGTGGTGGACAAAAGGTTCTGAGTTGCTTCTAGCCACCCCATTTTTCCACAATTTATCTTTGCTTAAAAGAATAAAGCTTTCAGGTCTAAAAGGGGGTGCAAACGCATCATTAAAATGGTCCATACAAGTCTGTGCGCTGTATCACATGTCTTCAGTCATTAGAAAGGAGTGAGAAACACCCAAATTTAAGTCAAGTTCATGTGAGAAGTAGTGATGGGTGATTTGCAAATGAGTCTTGAACCATTTGTCTAGCCACCCCATTTTTCCACAATTTATCTTTGCTTAAAAGAATAAAGTTTTCAGGTCTAAAAGGGGGTGCAAACGCATCATTAAAATGGTCCATACAAGTCTGTGCGCTGTATCACATCTGGTTCACAATAGACGGAAAGATCTTATTTGGAGCTGAGTTCCTGAGTTCAACTCACAGATTTTATGATCATTGAAAAGAAAGATTATCATTGAGTAACTCACGTAATTGCTGTAAAGAATTCAGAACACTTTTATGATACTTTTTTGAAGATACACACATATATACACTTTTATTTTTAACTTTCTACTCATTAAATAATTCTGAAATATTCAAATTTTTATGTAGAATTAGAATTTCTAAAATATCATGTGACACTGAAGGCTGGAGTAATGGCTGATGAAAATTCAGCTCAGCTTTTACATTTTTTAAATGTACCGACCCCAAACTTTTGAATAGCAGTGTGTGTGTGCATATAATATACTCATGCCAATAATGAACAGTATTTTGTATACATCAATTCCTGCTCTTTCTTAAAGAAGGGCCCCACATCAGGGGTTCGGGGTTTTAGAAAGACGCCTCTGCAGGAGAGGAGGAATAAGTTGGTGTTTGATAAAAAAAAAGTGAGGGTGACATTTAAGAAAGCTGTGCTGGAGGTCCAAATCTGACCTTCAGAGGTCTGACTGCAGAGCCTTTACTAACAAACTCAGCACAGTGACATGTACACTGACCGCTCTTTGAATTCTGTTTGTCCACTGTGAATGAAAAATTACCACCTAGGTGAAAATAGATCTTGCATAAGGAGAAACCTGGCATTTGCATGTACATCAAACAAGCAGCTCTCAGAAATCTCAATGAAGTGTCAGGTCTGAAGGGCATTTTGGGTAAAGGCTAAATATCCATCCTGTAGAATTTCCAAATGTGACATCCATCAGCAGCTAACACAAATACAGCTCATCTAATAAAGCAGTTGACATTTGAGTTAGTGTCACCATCTGAAATGTTGTGACTGAGCACTCTCAAGCTGTTCGGGTGTCTCAAAACAATTAGAAAAAGCATATTATATAACCTTAATGTATTGTAACCTTTGCGTCAAACAGAACAGAACTGTCATGTTATGAAACTGCACTCAACAAAGACTCTTTCTGAGGTTTTCTGAGAGTTGAACACCATATATGCACAAATGCGTGAAAACATACTATCTTACTTTAGGCTGCTGAGCCTCCAAGGCCTTCTTTCCATCCCAAGCCCAGCTGCGTTTGGTGAAGTAGTTGACTGTGGCAAACTCAATAAGCGCAGAGAACACAAAGGCATAGCAGACAGCGATGAACCAATCCATTGCAGTGGCATATGCTACTTTGGGCAGAGAGTTGCGGGCGCTGATGCTGAGGGTGGTCATGGTCAACACTGTGGTCACACCTGTGGAGGACCAAACACATAGATTTAGGATGTTATAAAATAAGGGCTCTCTAAAGCTGGTCAAAAATTTGGAATGATTCAGAATTTTTAATAATAAAGTCTCTTGTGCTCACCAAGGCTGCATTTATTTGATTAAAAATACAGCAAAAACAGTAATATGGTGAAATATTATTACAATTTAAAATGACTTTATATTTTAACCTATTCAGCTGAATTTTCAGCAGCAATTCCTCAAGTCAATACTTTCATTCAGCATGAACACATTTAAATTATCACAAGTGACAGTAGACATTTATAATGTTACAAAAGTTTTCTATTTTTAATAACTGCTGTTCTTTTGGAATTTTTAATAATAAAGTCTCTTGTGCTCACCAAGGCTGCATTTATTTGATTAAAAATACAGCAAAAACAGTAATATGGTGAAATATTATTACAATTTAAAATGACTTTATATTTTAACCTATTCAGCTGAATTTTCAGCAGCAATTCCTCTAGTCAATACTTTCATTCAGCATGAACACATTTAAATTATCACAAGTGACAGTAGACATTTATAATGTTACAAAAGTTTTCTATTTTTAATAACTGCTGTTCTTTTCAACTTTCTATTGATCAAAGAATCCTGAAAAAAATTTATAATGGTTTCCACAAAAATATTAAGCAGCAAAAACAAACAAAGCAAAAACACAAACAAAATAATTAACAATTAAGCACCAAATCAGCATATTAGAATGATTTCTGAAGGATCATGTGACACTGAAAGCTGAAGTAATAGCTATTGAAAATTCAGCTTTGCCATCAAAGGAATAAATTACTTTTTAAAATATATTACACTTAAACAGTTATTGTAAATTATAATATTTTAAATATTGTTGTCACTGTATTTTTGATCAAATAATTGCAGCTTCGGTGAGCTTAAGATACTTCTTTCAGAAACATTAAAATATCATAAATATTCCAAATAATATATCCAAACTTTTGACAGGTAGTGTAAATGAAAACTAATAGACATTACAGTCTAGATCCTTAAAGTTTGTATCTTTGTAAAACACCATAAATCAAACAACATGCTTAATTAACAAAATACATTTCTTTAAAACATATAAGAGTTACACCATAATTTCTTCTTCAAAATAAACAGGCATATAACGCTTATAATATAACATGATTTATGTGGCGAAAACAATCACAGTAATCCATCAAAACATTTTCAGTAGAAGCAGAATCATTTTGTGATCATTTTCCCTACCAGCAGGGAAATTTTGTCTTTCATCCAACATAATTCTTTTAATTTTTAAAATACTGTGCATGAATAAAATATTGCTTCATGAATCATAAACTCATCTTAACACCAAAACAAAACATACCAGCTGGGAATACTGACATTAAGATCATTTCATTCCCAGAAATGCAGTCTATTTCTATCAAAGCAAAAAACTGTATAGAAGGTAGCAATGAAGGGTCAAACACAGCAGCACTGCAGTTCAGATATAAATGTTTTTTTTTATATCAAACATGCCCTTAGAATGACAGTATCATTATAATTCTTTATGCAAAGCATCTGAGAATAGTTCTCGATAAGTGTCTGAGGAGCGGAGGTGTGCTGTCCCTGTCAGAGGGAGATCTGCAGATTGCCCCGGGCAGCGGTCACAGAGACTTTTAGACATAAATAGCTATGGTACTACAGTCCCTCAGGCATACGGCTCCGGGATTTCTCAGCCTCGGGCTATGCAAATAAAACACTGTCACATGAGCGATATCAGCGAGTGGGTCTTTGAGCCTCTGTTCATGGATATTTGTATATTTATGCGTGTGAGAAAGCATTATGTTTTGATGTATCCTTTGTTGGCCAGTCATAGAGATGTTGTTTGCGTGGGCACATATTCCTTGTGGACTGTCTGCTCGCTTTGCTGATTATTGCCAAGATACAATGCAAGACCCCAGAATTGAATAGGAACGGTGGTGTGAATTCATCCGAGTGGATTAGCTCTTCATTCCTTCTGATTGCATCAGTCAATTCTGATTTCCATTTTGATGAGAATTATCGATGTACAAAGCAAAACATTAAGTGATAGAACGAAAGGATCAACAGATAAGAATCCATACATGCTAGGTGAGTGAAAACGATAAAAAAATCCTCTACATTCAAACAGAACTGGAGGAGTAAATGCCTGATGCTGATAAGTTTTTAAAGGTGCAAGCAGTTTTTTTGTCTAATAAATCTGTAATAACTGGACAATGCTATTACCATTAGCATGATGTAGTTTTGGCATCAACCAGCAGGGGCTAATGGAGCCATGCTAAACAGTGTTGTTAATCCTAACTAAAACTATTGAAATCGTTTTTGTTAAATGTAGAGATGCACGATACTGGATTTTTGCAGATATCCGATATGCCGATATTTTTCAATTTATTTTGGCCTAGAGCCAATGCCGATATATTTCCTTTTGTTTGGAATCAATACCAAGAGATTATAAAAATTATAATGTTATATTATGTTATTAAATTAAATGTTACAGTTTTGACCAAAAACTTGCTTGTTAGAGCTAAATAAAAAATAAAGTTATTTTTATAATGAGAGTAAATGGAAAGCTTTGAAAATAACTATTGAAAAAAAAATTATCACTGCCCTTTTTTGCCCATTTCGCCAAAATAAAAAATGTGATAAGACTTTAATAAAAAAAAACTTAAATGAGAATTAGAAATGTTCCCTTGCCAACTAACTGAAAGTTGTAGTACTACAATTACGAAAACTGAAGCTAAAACTAAATTACAGCTATAAATTTGAAAAAAAAAAAAAAAGTCAAAATTAAAATGAGAATATAAAAATAATAATTAAAAGTTATAATACATATGATAAAATTATATAAAGTGAAGTTACTAAAAAATATGGTTTAAGAAATTTATAATAACTCAAGAAATCTATTAGCATTAGCATTTTCTTAACTTTTCAAGTAAATCACCTGAGTTATACTATACAGCTAATATTGGATTTCTCAATAAAGAAAGAAGCTGTGTCCAGATGGTGTAGTTACAACATTAACCAGCAGGGGATAACAGGGCCTTGCTACAACTAAATTTATTAAAAATAGTTTTTGAAATGAAATATGTATTAGACAGAATCATTGAAATAATAAGGTTACTAAAATTAAAACGTAAAAAAAAATAAACATTCATGGCAGCATTCATGAGGGGGTACCCCGTTCATGTAGAACTATTTGTATTTTGTATACAAATAGTTCTACATGAACTATTTGTATTTTGTATACTATTTTCTATACTATTTGTATACTATTTTGTAGAACAGCTATGTGTGTGTGTGTGTGTGTGTGTGTCTGTGTAAAACTCGCATACCAGGGGGGAAAAAGGAAGCACTAACCAAAGACTGTCCTGGCAGGGACAGATTCACGGTTGAGCCAGAATGAGACTTGGGACAGAATGACAGTCATGAAACAGGGCATGTAGGTCTGAATCACAAAGTAACCGATCTTCCTCTTCAGGTAGAAATGGGCCATCATGACTGTGTATTGACCTGCAATGAAAGAAAGAATGAGAATAGAAAACAGTGATGGAAAAATAAGTAAGAGAAGAAACAAAGGGACTAAGAGAGGAAGGGATAGAGTGTGATTAAACTCTTGGGGGGGATAAGTGCAAACCAGCTGAGAGCTTTAAAGAGAAAATGAGAAAGAGAGAGAGGTGGAGAGAAACAAGTCAAGGGAGAGAGCCATAATAATATGAGGCAAATCAAAACAAATGGGAACTGATATAATTATGGAATTTTCCAACAGTGTTGTCAGTATTCTTTCAGAGTAAAGGGAAACACTTTGACTTCCTAGTTTGTGGTCTCATTAGCACCAAGTAGTGGACAGTTACCATAATGTCTGGCCACAAAGATGATTTGATTTTGTTTTAGTAAAAGAGTAGAACATAAATTATTTTAAAGGTATAAAAACGGCATAAATCATCAGAATGGAAGAGATTGAATCATCTAAACAAAAGTCACATTTATGGTGTGTTTAAGAGCTGTCACGCTGTGCACTGGAACATGGTGAGGTAAATCATTAACTGGAATAGAAAAGAGAATGCAGAGTGAAAAAACATTATATATCCTGTTAACCAAGCGAAGATTGAATTTGAAGCTTTAAAAAAAAAAATCCTTTTGAGCCACACAGTCTGATAAACTATAGAAAATCCACTGATGACTGCTGCTTTCTCCTGGCAAAATCGGATTTTTGTGTGCCACTAATCCCTTGTCACAATCTGCATCCTGCAGGCTTCTCTCTCTCTCTCTCTCTCTCTCTCACACACACACACAAACTCTTCTCTCTCTCGCTCTTTCAATAGTTCCATCCATTCTGTCAGGCCAGGCCATCCGCATTTAGGATATACTCTTTCACGGCTTGCAGAGAGAAAGCGAGGGAACAAAAAAGGGGGTAAAAACAGAGCAATAGCGCAAAATCTAGTCAAGATCAGAGGGGACAGATCAAGTGGATCAGATGAAGAGGATGACAAGCTGTTGAGCCTTGGAAGTCAAGGAAAAGTTTGAACGTTGTGAGGGCCCTGGGGGCAAAGATGTCCTCGTCATGAGGGGCTCGTCGCATCCCCTTCGTCTGGCTCGACCCTTTATTTCAATGGCCGGGAAGAAAGCACAACTGGCAGTGCCCCATTTCATATATTCCACCTTGGATGTGCCCTGCGGGGTGGGACTCTTCTGAGAGCTACAAACATGCGACTGTGGTGGATTTTACTTCTAAGCTTTTGGAGTGTTTATGGAGAACTCCCATTCATAGCAGAGAACAACGCTGCCATGCTGGTCAACTGGTGAGTGGTCTGATTTTTTTTTACACTCAAAGAAAAATAACACAGTGTTGAACGTTAATAGGAATGGATGAGCACCTGAGGGGGGTCAGCTTCTAAATCAATTTGAAACAGTTGGGAAGGGTAGGTGCTATTTTCTGGATGGGAGTTCTTATTAATAAAAGGTGACAGGTTATCTGTATGTCTTTACAGTGCGGGCCAAGTGATTGAATGTTGACATTTCCACTGGAGATAATTTTACCATCTGTTTGGCAGACTCTAGAAGGTCTTTTTTCCCTTTCTTTCTTTCTCTTTTCCACTGGGTTTGAGCTAATGACCCTGCGCTCATGAGATGAAGTCCTGGGGGATCTATTTTTAGCTTTGTAAAGAGGTTTGCACCTCAGATTAGCAGCAGTAATGACCAGCTGACCTTTGTCCTTCAAGTCAGCCAGGGCAAAAAATCAGAAGACAGGGGAAGACCTGCCAGAAAGGAACACCGTGGCCTCAGAGCTAGTTTCTAAAAGTGTTTCTGGCCACCTGATGACAGCTGGCAAACTTTGATGTGTAAATCAATGGCAGTGAGAAAGAGAGATGGCTCAGCAGGATTTAAAACATGACATGGTCGGCATAGTTGATAGTGACTGCCTAGCTCATGATCAGAGCACGATAATGTCTTATTGAATATGAGTGTACGCCAGCTCAGCACGATTATCCATATATGTACATCCATAAAGGCGGAACAAGGGGAAGCCCCCAACCCCACCCCCCACACATGATTACAAAGCTAGAGGCAGAAATGATATGAGTGTATTACCAGTCATCTTTACATAACCGAATTAGGCAGATGCTGCATAGGCCCCCTTCTCCCCCTCGCTCATCTCCCATGTGTCTCTTGCCAGCTTGAGCCAATGGTGGCTGACCGACGTCACATGGTAAAAGCACAACTGATGGGGAAGCACAAGGATTAACCCTCCAGACCCAATGGCTCAGGATAAGTGTTGTTTTCTCCCCTCCCTCTCTCTCATCTTCATCTCTTCCTGTACTCTCGCTGGTCCTAGAGACAGCTGGCCGTGAGTGGGAGGTGTACTGAAATCCTCATCACTCATTTGCCATCCAGCTTGATTTGAAAAAGCTATAATCACAGAAGGACTATCACTTTATGAGAGACGACGTCATACGATGTTTGAAAATGAAACTGAAATGGTGTGATGCAACACATCCTGTTCCAGGAAATAATGCATTAGATGTAACAGGTTAGAAGGTCAGATGAACTGTGAAAGAAAATATATGATATATTAGCAAGAATGGGCATTACGTTACTACAAAACATTTTGGAGCATGGTCCTAACTGTAAAGCTGAATCAAAGATCTTACACCAAATGACTGACTGACTGACATTGCAATGGGATTAGGTCAGAGAAAGTTATTTACCTCTGCTTGAGCTGATATCTTCCGTACCGACAGTGTGGCCGATCAGATGGTATTGGTTAAGACGTGACCCTTCCTCTGCCACTACCACAGACATGCCAGGGCCTTTAGTCCACTTATACACCACTTCTGAGATAGGGTAGGCATCTGGAAAAACACACAGTAGTTTATACTTATTATGCAATGATAACGTTTATTAACCAGACACTGCGAGCACCTGGAATATTAGTTCAAATTAAATGCAATCTGTTTAGTCCCGTCTTTGAATAAGGTTGCATAAGTGTTACCCACTCTTGATTGTACAGTCATTGTCAGTTGATTGCATTGCGATTTGCATGCAAGTAACTTTCATTTCTCAGATTTAGGAGGTACAGTGTCTACACCTGTCAATCATGGGGAAATATCAGCTTCCTTTATCAACAGGGAGCATGTTTTTCTGACTCTGCCAAGTGTAGAGCTGGGTAATAAATTGAATCATCTGCACCTGTGTTGAAAAATAGGATCAGACCATGAGGCTTAAAAATTAGATTTTCATAGACACCTGCACCTCAGTTGAAGACAACTAGAGGAATACTTCAATAAAATGACATGTCTTTGCACATGTTAAAAAAATGTGTAGCCTTTGTTAGCTGTCCTGCAAAAAAGCTAGAGATCTAAAAAAAAAAAAAAAACGGCCAATCCTCTTAATACACTAATCCTTTTTTTTTCAATTTACATTTTATTTTATAATTTTCTATAATTCTTTTTATTGTATGTATTTTCATGTACAGACTGTAATCAAGTCACATTCAACACAACGTGAAACTACATTTTCAGTAGATACTAGTTTCACATAAAATAGCTGCAGCTTTACAGAGAGTTTCTTAACACTCCATTTTTTCCCTTTCACCCCCTCCCACCATTGTGACATTCAATCTTGAAGCAAAACATTAATCCTGCCACTCTCATGCCGGCTGTCTCCATCACAATTAAGATTGACTTCGACCATCTAGACTGAGGGATTATTCTGCCAACAATCTACACACACAGACGTACTTAGATACCCCAAGCAAAATTCCTGCAAACTAATTTGCACTTCACAAATTGTCAGTCTCACCACCCCCACTCCTCTACTCTTTTCCTGACTCGGAAAATCAAACTTGCTATTGATATTGCTACAAATATTCTGACTTCTGAAGTCATAACTAACATACTCGTAACCAGATGCTCCTCTGAATCATTAAAAGCACTGAAGCACTGAAACACAGTTCAGTTATGGTGAAAGCTCTCATCCTGGGGTTGTGTACCCTACAGATAATGTTGTGCTTTCACCAAAAAACTGTGCCAGATTTCCTTGGATGGTTGCAGAAAAGGCTTTTGCATGTTGAAATACTGTAATAATATAATGTATTATGTGAGGCATCATAGGCAAGTAGCTTCTAGGCCATTCTCATAGACACTTCTCAGAATGGACAGTCCACTTGAGGACAAGCCCACACATTACCTGTTAAGACTCTATAGGGTACCAGCCAAATAAGATTGTAAAGCTAATACTGATTGTTGGGACAGATAGCATACGTAGTTAGTTCAAAATGCTGGCAAGTCCTGTAATTTTCTATTTTTAACTACAGCATTTTATACAACACTTTGCTATGCAACACTTTTGGGACAAATGTACTGTATGTTTACAGTTCTAAAACAGTGGGTTTTATTCATGAAACATGCACAGAATTCTTTAATATTTATACATTTTGTGCATTCAAATAAACGGGTAGATTTACACACCAATGGGTTTAAATACAATTTACACAAAAATGCCGTGTGTTCCATGAATCAGGCCACATTTTTTTATAGAAAGTATTTAATGTCTCTAAGTTTTTTTTATTGCAAAACATTTTTCTCTTTATTTTTTTATTGTACTTAAAAAATAAAGTTATTTATTTATTTTATTTTGCATGTGGCTATAGTGTTATTTCCTATATTTTGGTAAGCACTGAAAAGTCGAGGATCTCTAAGCTGATATCATGTTTGTATTCTGTGTTATCTCCCTTTCTTACACACAAGAACAGAGCACATTACTACTGTCATCATTATTGTGGATTTATGGCATGAACCTTTACTGACTGTGTGTGGCATTTCAGACTTTTTTGAGAAACCTGAAGAAAACCTAAAACTCTTTTTTAAGGGTTAGATACCAGTTCTCCTAGGATAGTGTTTGAAGCTCAGTGCAAGTTCAGGAGCCAACAACTAAATAAACTAATGAGTGTGAAGACAGTGTTGCTGCTAATTATATATGGTGATTGTAAGTGGATCTAATTGGATTAAATTTAGTGGACAGCTCTGAACTCATTTAAGTTCAAATGTAAAACTATACACTTTGTCAAGCCTACTATGGATTGAATTAAGGAGGAGACTGAAGTTGTATATAGTGGTAGTGATGATAGAAATCATGGTAGAATAATAATGGGTCAGAAAATATAGATTTTTGTGTTTATATTATACCCAGAGCACTGTGGGATATGTTATTCTTACTTTTTTGACATACTGTAGTCTGTAGTCATTAAGGAAACAGCATCTGATAAACCAAAGGAAGTGACAAGGTCTAGCTTACAGAGGACAAAATATTTCTCATAGGTCAAAGGTTGAAACTTGAGGGAAACAAATGTAGCTCTTCATTACGACAGCCCAAAGAGAGAATAGCCTGTAGAATAACCTTCTTACTCACACACGACTGAAACACTTTCCAGTAAAATGAAATCGTTCAGTGTGGATTGACTTGACAGAATGTGTGCGTGTATATAAAAGTTTGGCTATACTCGAGAGGAGCACATTTTGGGAAATGTCCTCACAAATAGAGTGAAATATCAAACACCCACAAAGTGGGCCTCACTTGATGAGATGTCCTCATTAATATAGTGAAACCAGCATGTGTGTGCTTATTTGTGGTTAGGAATGTTAATTTTTTACAGCTTATTTTATTGCAGGTCTAAATCAATCATTTAATGTCAGAGTTTTCATTTTGTTTGTGAATCTCATTTACAATCCACTCTTGTTTTACTGCAGTATTGAATGCCTTTCAGCATTTCAAATCAATGACAATGTGAAGCAAGTTAAAGAACTTAAGTAGTTCATTCCCAAAATGTGACAATCTGCAAAAATTACATGAGTAAATTAATTACAATTAAATTATAATAATGATCGTCTTTTGCTGCTAATATAAAATGTTGAATATTCAGAAAAAGATCAAAAATGCAGCAAAGATAATTTTCCACTAGCTTGAAGCACTGGCATAGACAATTCCAAAAAACACAAATAAATAAATAAATATAAGAATCTCTTTCTCAAACATTTACTAATAAACAAGATAGAAGCAATATGGCAGCATAAGTAATATAATGTCCATTTATACAAAGAAATAAAAATAAACAACCAAATAACACACTCCATCCTTTTCTACAAACACCCACACCTTTCAACCTGTCCCTATAAAGCCTGTCTTTCTTTACACAAATTATGAGGCTTGGCTGCCCTAAGGTGACCCTAATACTCTATATACACCAGCTAGTGACATCTTTAGCCATTAGCTCAGCAGGTTGAGAAGCAAACACAGACAGTATTCTTAAAGCTGCAGGATATGTTTGTGATTGAAAGGCTTGGTTGTTGAAATGCTGTTTTTGTGTGTGTGTGTGTATGTTTAGACATATTTTGAATGAGTATGCATATTTGTTTAGTGTCCGTCTACTGCCTATCCTTTAAATAGGCCTATACCTGTATCTCAACACATGTTGTAGATTTGTAGACCTACCTCATACGGTATATCCTCCATTGCTGACCTATGCCTTATCTTATTTCTCTCTCAAAACTCTCTGGGAAGAGATATATTGGATTAATCGGAACAAAAATATGATTCACCATTGGGGACCTTTACAAGGTTGAATCATCCCGCAGTAATCTTTGGTATATATAATCTTTTGAGGTGAATCTGCTGGCACGAGAACCTGAAGGCTGTACTGCAGTATGGGAAGTGCTAAATATACACTAGACTGGTACTAACGTCATCAAATAAACCTTAATGGACATGTAAGAAAGTAGATGTCAAAACAAGACATACAGACTGAAGAATATGGAGTGAAAGAAAATAGTGACTTACTATTTTTGTTATTGCTCATGCAGTATATTGCTGAATAATGGCTGTATAAATGACCGGTCATTTAGAAAACCTACAGAGCTTTTCAACAGTCTCTACATCTAAACTAATATAATAATTTCACTGATAACCAAAATATTTCATCTCAATTTATTAATTTGTCAAACCATGTAATAACTGGGTTAATGTACAGTCAGACAGACATATACAGAGTTCAGTGCTTCTAGACACTCCACAGTCTCTCTCTTCTCACATAATAAAATAATTTAAACTCAAAATCAATATTTCATGTCCAGCCATGCAATAAGTGGGATAATGTACTGTACAGTCAGCCAATCTTTATCACAAAATAAACCCTCACAGGGTGATACGAGACCCTAAATTTCACATCAGGGACTATTCTGTGATAATGACTAGCTGACTTTACATTAATCATGAAATTAATGCCTTTGTACCTGATTCACTCAGTCTGCTTAGCCGAAGATGTACATTGTGTCTGTTGAGATTAACCATGAGAATGATTGTCTGTCTCTTTCAAGAGCAGAATATTCCTTAACTAAAAGCTCCGCATTAACATACCGCACACATCAGCTTCACAACTTTTGTCGTTTACATGAACGCCGTTGCCTTTCTAAGGCATTTTGATTGAGATGACGGTTAAAACCAGGCGTCTGTCACTGTTATCCAACCAGCCAAACAAAAGCTGCTAAGTACAGACAGAATTTATATAACCTTTACATAACAGAGCACAATACATCAAGTAAACACATTTGTTGTGCGATTTACAAGTTAAATCACTAATTCTCTGCTGCCTGTATATAGAGTAACTTACACAGCATTAAACAAGTCTGTGAACTCTAAGTTTGTAAGTACGTTCCCAAGTATGAGTCCTAATGAAAGCTACATTTTCAATTACCACCTGACAATGAATAATTAACACCATTTGTGACATTTAAGATAGCTCAGGGTGTTTTAAATCTTCAGTAGAATGTAAAATATAAAAAAAACAAGAAATGCTGAGAAATTACTAATTAAACAAAATAGCTGAATAATAGAATCCAATAATATTCTGTGCAGGATAGTTCATGTTTATTAACACCGTACTGTTCATTTGTGAAAATCATGCTCAATCTTCATTAAATATTCATAGTGGGTTAAGTAGTTCTTGCTTCTATAATAAAAGAGATAATATATGATCAGATCAATGAAAAAAATGTAATCAAGTAAATGTTGGTTATACTATTGTCCATAAAGTAGATATAAACAAAACAAGAATTGGTGGGGGAAAAAATTAAGCCTTGTTATTATAGTTATTAAAATATATATTTAATTTTTTTAGAAAGCGGAGTATCTTAAATTGATGCAGCATGGCTGGTTTAATATTAGTTTCAAGGATTGTCTGCATACATCAATTTGGATTCAGGTCAAACCAGGCAGGCTAGTACAATTTTACTTTTAGAGTGATTAGATTTTATACTGTACTTCTAACTACATTGATGTTCTAATTTAACAATCCATCCAATCACATTGGGAAGCCTATGAGATTCCCAAAAGCACTGCATCAGACTCATTTTAGGTCACGGGCCAGATTAGATTAAACATCAACTTATGCTGGCCGATTTTTTAAATTTATTTATTAAATCTTGACGTACCCATGGAAAGCGTAAGCAGTAAGCACAATGCGTGGTTTTTTGCAACTACTGAATGAACTTCAGGTCATGAGGGATTTTACTATGCAGCTATAAAATACAATAAAATATTCAGATATGCACAATCATGAAACATCAGTGGCACCCCTCCTAAGCACTGTCTGTCATGGTTTCTGCTGTATCCCAACCCAAAGGCTCTCCATGTACAGCCCTATCCTGTAATGCCCTGAACATCAAAGAAAGCTGAGCCCATCTCAGGTCATTCCTGGATTCTTAGCACCAAAAAGCCTTTCTTTTGTGTGCGGGCAGTGCGTACGTGAGCGTGGGAGGGATGGCAGGACACCTTCCTACTAATCCAATCCTCAAGTCACCCTTCTTTCTGCTAGCACCAGGTGATAATCTTAATCCTGTTCTTGGACAGGATGCCACGTGATAATCAGACTAAACTGGACTCAGTATGTGTTCAGATATACCTTAAACACCAGTCCGACAAGCTGACTAAAATAGGCCAAGTTAGTATAAATTTACTCAATATTTTAGTAAAAAGTACACAAATGTATTGAGAACAAATGCAGAGAGAAATGAAGATGAAGATTTTCTACTTGCATCTTGTTCATTTAAATGTGAGATACTATTCATATGCATTTACTGAATAAGATGGATGTAATCTTGCATTTTGAGTAGTGATTATATTTCTTTGATTTCTTGGAATCTGCTATTTTAAAATCTTTTTATAATGACAATGAAGTATACATTACAATGGGTTTTTTGGGCAGTAGCAAAGGAATTGTTCTTCATTCAGAATAAAACATTATGGACTTACAGCTGCCAAATTTGAGTGGGCAGGCATGAGTATCCATAGGGAAATCCTCCAATTGCATGGGACACTCCGCTGATATGGTCAATCTGCAGAGAGAAAAATGAAAATGAAAATATGATTAAATCTTGATCAGCACATCTGAGTATGTTTTAACGATCAGTTTTTAGTATAAACATGTCTTCAATCATCATCAGCTTAGTGACAATCATCACTGGAACAGTGAGTAGCTGATTGTAACTAATTCAATCAGTGTTTAATGTCTTATTGAAAATACCCTTAATGTAGCTATAGGCTTGAATAACTTGTGTATATTAATAGGAAGACTGAGCTAGCGTGTTGAGTGCTCTTAGATGTATTTATAGAACAAGGGTGCCCTCATGTGCTAGATGTAGGAATGCTGCCAAATCGGTGAAGTAAAGCGCTGCTAATTCTGGATTTGCTTATAAGCAAGAACACTAGCGTTTATATTCAAAACACTCACGCAGCAGTGTTAACTAGTCTTATGTAATTTAAAACCAATGTAAGAAAACACAAGTACAGTGTTATAAATGTATATACAGTGTGTGTGTGTATATATATATAAGAATTTCGTACACTGTATAAATAAGTCTCTATACGTAAAAACATATTGTTGCCTTTATGTTAAAAGTTAAAACATAACTTTAAAACCCCCTGATGTAGACAACGCTGCGGAGGCTCTGCAGTGGCTGAATCTGCTATCCTGTAGCCCCCTCTAGTGGACCACTTATGAAACACAGCTTTTTAATTCTGTAACCATATGATTTTCTGAAAAGATCTGAGGCTAAACACATTAAATGTGATTGAGATGAACATCAATTCATTCTATCTGAGTGAGTGCCACTGAATTTGATTGCTGGATGTTATATAGTATATAAGTGATCTAACATGACATTCGAAATATGAAATGGAAGTAGAATCACACTATTATTGTCCCTCTCTTGAACAGCCAAAAGGATTCGGGCACTTCCTGTTACAACGAAGTACGTCCATTAGATTTGCAATGCCAGGTTGCATAAAGTCTATTTAAATCAATGTTCAAAGTCTGCTGCTAAACCAATAGTCATCAGCAAAGCCATTTAGAAAAGCAAATATATGAGATCAAGGCTGATCATACCATAATGGCTACAGGATGGCCACCATATTATGCCACCCTCTAGCCATTACGCCTTTCCCTCAACATCCCGGCTGGAGCCTATTCAATGATTTGGTGTAAGCAATGCAATAAGACGTCAGCGTTGACCCTCAGCTGACAGTGTAATGAAGGGTTTGATATTGCCATGCTACTAGAACTGCTTAAAACCTCCATCATCAGCATCTGAGTATGAGACCGGGGTCGAAGGGCCAATGGTTGTATCTCTGACTGAAAATCCTGCGAGAATGTAATTAATGGGGCGGGACACGTGAGGCGCTGTTCCTTCACTTAATCAGTGCAGGGCCTTCATCTCTTGACAGCTCCATGATGAATTGCTGTATTGGAAAAATGAAGGACTGTCCTCTAAACTCAACCTCCACTCGACCAGCTCACACAACTTTATCAAAACCAGCCATATGGGAGGGGAAGGGCTCGCTATGTACTTACTGAACACAGGTAGTGCTGAGTTCAGCATTGCTGGATGTGGAGATGAAATGATGTGGCACTGGGGCCTTGACAAATCATGAGCGCTCAGAGCTTTATCCTGACTGTGAGCTTTACTTGGTCTGTGATAGTGTCAGGGAGCATCTGTCATGTCACCAGCTCTGGACTCCATATCCCAGAATCCTCCTCGGCTCACACTAGTTCACATTCACAATCACCAATCTCACCAGATCTCACTCACCTGGATTCTGATCACCTGCACCTGCTGCCACCAATCAAGCCACCTTCAAAAGCATGCTTCTTTCAGTCACACACCGTCTGATCTACAATTCTCTACACTACTCCTTAGCTGACTCACTGAACCCGAACGCCATCCTCATACCGGCCTGTCTCTGTGCCATCCTCTTCAGCCCGATCCACAAAGGAACCCGTCATCACGTGAGCCCGATCCCTTCCATTCCTCAGACTGTTGCTCTAACCCGTTGGCTCTCCGTATCTCTCTCCCTCTCCCAGCACCTGTGCAATAAAGCTCACAGTTTACTTTACCTCTCCATCCCTGGTCTCCTTCTGTACTGTGACAGAAGATCGGACCCACACCTACGGCACAGATGAGTTCTCCCCACGGCATGCAATCGGCTGTGTGTTTCTCCGTCCTCGCTCGCCGGGATCTCCCCTACTACGAGTACGCCGAGGAGTTTTGCAAGCTCGCAGCGGCGACGGCGATGGATGACGCCACCCTGAACCATCTGTTCTGGCTTGGGGCCAACACCCATCGCCCTTTGGACCTCCCAGACACCACTGGACTATGTTGGAGAGAAGGTGTATTCCTCTGTCTGGGGAGTGTCCGGTCCCGAGCCGAAGCCAGTCCGCCGCCGTCCGTGGCTCACCCAAGGCAGCTGGCAGATCCCCAGTTAGGCCCGGGAGGGGCTCCTGATCCCCAGTTAGGCCCGGGAGGGGCTCCAGATCCCCAGTTAAGCCCGGGAGGGGCTCCAGATCCCCAGTTAAGACCAGGAGGGGCTCCAGTGTGTCAGGCGGCGTTAACGGACATGGCGCTGCCCCCGGGGTGCTCGGCACCCGTCCTCACCCCAGAAACCTCGCTAACACGCTGCTCTGAGCCTCCTTCGCCTCCGCTGGTCCCGTTCAGCTCTATTTCATCGCCTTCGCTGGTCCTGTCCAGTCCTCCAGAGCGCCCTCAAGGGCCCGCTCCTCCAGAGTGACCCCCAAGATTCCCAGATTTCCCCAAGAAAAAATTGGGGGGGGCATATACCCGTGGCCGAGCCAGCCAAGGCCACGGCGGATCCATCATGGCCTCCCGGGTCCCCTGCTCTGCCGTGGCCTCCCGAGTCCCCTGCTCCGTCGTGGCCTCCCAAGGTCTATGATCCGCCGTGGCCTCCCAAACTGCCTGCTCCGCCATGGCTCCCAGAGCTCCCTGATCCGCCCTGGAGGCTCTCCTTATCTCCATCTTGTTCCGGCTCACCCAAGGCAGCTGGCAGATCCCCAGTTAGGCCCGGGAGGGGCTCCAGATCCCCAGTTAAGACCAGGAGGGGCTCCAGTGTGTCAGGCGGCGTTAACGGACATGGCGCTGCCCCCGGGGTGCTCGGCACCCGTCCTCACCCCAGAAACCGCGCTAACACGCTGCTCTGAGCCTCCTTCGCCTCCGCTGGTCCCGTTCAGCTCTATTTCATCGCCTTCGCTGGTCCTGTCCAGTCCTCCAGAGCGCCCTCAAGGGCCCGCTCCTCCAGAGTGACCCCCAAGATTCCCAGATTTCCCCAAGAAAAATTGGGGGGGGGGCATATACCCGTGGCCGAGCCAGCCAAGGCCACGGCGGATCCATCATGGCCTCCCGGGTCCCCTGCTCTGCCGTGGCCTCCCGAGTCCCCTGCTCCGTCGTGGCCTCCCAAGGTCTATGATCCGCCATGGCTCCCTGATCCGCCCTGGAGGCTCTCCTTATCTCCATCTTGTTCCAGTCCTGCACTAGCCTCCAGGGCACCCGTCCCCCCTCCTCGGTGGTATGTTACGGTGCGGGACGCGCCTTCCGGGAGGGTGAGGTAATGTCAGGGAGTATCTGTCATGTCACCAGCTCTGGACTCCATATCCCAGAATCCTACTTGGCTCACACCAGTTCACATTCACAATCACCAATCTCACCAGATCTCACTCACTTGGATTCTGATCACCTGCACCTGCTGCCACCAATCAAGCCACCTTCAAAAGCACGCTCCTTCCAGTCACCCACCGTCCGATCTACAATTCACCACGCTACTCCTTAGCTGACTCACTGAACCCGTACTCCATCCTGATACCTTCCTGTCTCTGTGCCATCCTTGATCCACAAAGGAACCCGTCATCACGTGAGCCCAATCCCTTCCATTCCTCAGACAGTTTCTCTAACCCGTTGGCTCTCCAGATCTCTCTCCCTCTCCCAGCATCTGTTCAATAAAGCTCACAGTTTACTTTACCTCTCCATCCCTGGTCTCCTTCTGTACTGTGACAGATAGCCCATTAAAGCTCATAAATTATTTTCTGTTCTTCCTTTGGCTGTCTTACAAATTTCACATGAATGTTCTGTAGAAGATGTCTGTTTCTCTAAATAACAGTGGCTGATTCTGTGCCAGCACTATAGTAATATACAAACCTAAGCTGCAATTATAAATAAATGCATACTTAAAATACTATTTACCGTTTCTTTACACATTAAAGAGATAATATAGTAATAGATTGTGCTTTTTACTAGTAGAAGTGTCTACCTTTCAGATTGTATATGAAGAGTTTATTAAAACAGATATAAAAAAGATATCAAAACATAACTCTGTTTATATTTATTTTCATAAATGTTTTTTATTGTGTTAGTTAGCTGTATGTTTAGTTATTATTATTTAATCAAAACAACCCAACTGCAGTTTGATTTATATTAATTGGAATACAGGATTAAAAAAAACATGAGTTTTGAACATTTTTAGTAATATGTTTTTGAAAATGAACTCTTTATATACGGTGTATGCATGTGTCATTGCAATTTATAGAAATTATTGTACATAACATACAACAATCTACAGGACTTTGTATTAATTTGCACATTAACAGTCAAGTAGCAGTTTAAAAATCATGGAGAATCAGATGTCTGTTCATTACTGATTAATTACAGTTCATTACTATTTTAAGCAGTTATGCTATGTGGATAGCAAAGTCGTTTGCACCTTGCTTTTTTGTCACTTAATATTTTATTTTGTGTCAAACAAAAGATATCAAAACATAACTCTGTTTATATTTATTTTCATAAATGTTTTTTATTGTGTTAGTTAGCTGTATGTTTAGTTATTATTATTTAATCAAAACAACCCAACTGCAGTTTGATTTATATTAATTGGAATACAGGATTTAAAAAAACATGAGTTTTGAACATTTTTAGTAATATGTTTTTGAAAATGAACTCTTTATATACAGTGTATGCATGTGTCATTGCAATTTATAGAAATTATTGTACATAACATACAACAATCTACAGGACTTTGTATTAATTTGCACATTAACAGTCAAGTAGCAGTTTAAAAATCATGGAGAATCAGATGTCTGTTCATTACTGATTAATTACAGTTCATTACTATTTTAAGCAGTTATGCTAGCAAAGTAGCAAAGTCGTTTGCACCTTGCTTTTTTGTCACTTAATATTTTTTGTTGTGTCAAACTATATATATATATATATATATATATATATATATACTAAGGAGTTATGTATACACAAAAATCTAAACAGATATTCAGTATTAAGGGGATCAAAGGTAAAATTTTAACAATCGCTCATTGAAAAATTCACATTGGTTGACCATTAATTTGAATATTGAGGTGGATGTGTCCCTCTCAGTGTCTAAGTTGTTTATGACTCCGTAAAAAAATTTTTTTACTTTATATTTGTGATTTTTACAATGTATGTTTTCCTACTGCACCATTTGTCTCAACATCGAGCTCAAGCTAAGAAGTTATTTTAAAAATATGGCAGATCCTTCAGAAGATTTGACAGTTTCTAGAACATCTCCATTTTGTTCGGTCTCATAACCTCTTTTTTTAACTCTAATAAAAGCCTGTAGACTGCATTCCACTTTTAGAATGTGGGTGGTGAAACTGTTTTGCCTTGCTTTTTCATGGCAGCTAAGGTGCTCCTTTCCATCTCAGCAGGAAAAATAAAAAAACCTTACTGCTTATCACTTTTCTGGAAACAATGTGCACATTAGTGAGTGGTAAAAAGCCCTTTTAATGGTTCGCACTGTTAGGAAATGCAACACTGGGCAAAGTTTATTGTAGGCAAGCTACAATAGCTCCACCATTGATTTCTAAATGACATGCTCCAAGTCATTTCCTCTCAGAGTCATTAATGTTTGATTGATGATCTCATTCAATCTACGATCTAAAAAAGCAGCTCTATCTAAGGCTTTAGCAATTGAATAATTTTGTAATATGCATTTGGTCTTACAATATACAACACAGACAATAAAAAACAGGCGACGCTCCGCAAATGAGAAAGGAATGCGTTTCATGTAAATTAAATTATCCATGTTCTTTGACTTTTTCATTTATTTTATATTGCTTTAGCCCCACTACATGAAATCTTATTTGTTACCTCTATGGAAAACTCGCCAAATCCCTCTTTGCATTTAAATTTGACTTAATAAAAACTAATAACTCATTATATAATGGATCATCATATCTGTAACCCTGGGGGAATAAAAACAACAAATACATAACCACCACAATCTAAACACTTTACGATTGTGCTCCTCAAAATTCAGCACTTTCTCAAGCAGATTCTACTACAGAGAGGATTTAGTATTGATGCCATTTGAGAACAACAATAGCAGCTTTTATACAGCACTAACACAGCAGTGTTCAGTGCTTGGCAGTAGATTGTTGCTGATGATAGCATGGCGAGCAGAAACTGTTTGTGTGTGAGTGTAAGTGTGTGCGTGCATGTTCTCTCCCTCTGCCCTGATACTGCGAGTAATGGAGCAGACAGTCTGTGAAGAACAACTCAACAACAGGGGCATAAAACATGCAGCCACATGGCCTTTTCCGCTTTCTCCTTTTCCTTTGTTTCTATCTCTTGCTTTGTCTCACCCCCTCTTGCTTTTTCTCTGGAACACCCTTAGGTTGGAACCCCCTTGGATAACTGGTTCAGGGCGAAAAGAGAAACCAAAATAAACTAGATGCAGTAGGTACATTTTCTGAATAAATGAATGCGTGGAGTGTCAACAAAATTAGAATTTGCCTCTGGAACCTCAGTACACTGCTCAAAGTGAAAAACGCTTTGTTGAAAACTAGGTTAAATTATCTAGGCGGATAAAATAAATGTTTTTTTTAAGTGCAAAAATGACACATTAGTCTAGATTAGATTAGTCTTGGTAGCATCACCAATAATTGACTTAAAGTTACAAAATAATCAGTAAAAATTTTCCATCATTTTCCAAATTACAATTAAATAATTTTACAAATTAAATTAAACAAAATAGAAAAAAATATATTAATTTGTAATATTTTGTGTTGGGGCCTGTGAAAATGTTGGCAGGGCAAGCAAGCAAGCAGGCAGGCAGGCAGGCAAGCAGGCAGGCAG